TTTTTGTCATCTTACCTTAATACTTTTTGAACAGAATAATGATACAAATCAACCGGTGTAAAGAAAACACACAATTTTGTAACAAGTAATAAACAAAAATTTTTTTAAACAATTTTTTTTAACAATATAGAGTGATACCAAATCAGTCATCATCGTCGAATAAGACAGAGTCAAGTTATAAAATAAATGTATACTGTGGTAGCTAGGCTTGAACTTGGTATCACTCGAAAAGGACCGAAAAAAGAATAGGGTCGAAACGTTGTGTAATAAACTAATTAAACAACTGGCCAGCTGGGTTGACTATAAGTTTCCCGTCTCAATCAATATTACATAAATTGCAAAGAGCCTCGACAATGGCGTAATATCTCTCTCTCTGTAGATCACAAAATGATAATGGATAGAAAGAAACACGTCGGTGGAAAATTATCTCGTAAACGATCGAGCAGTCCCGTGCCGTCGGACTCGAGTCTCTCCGTCGGAGAGGACAGCAACTGCAGTGGCGAACTGTTGAAAAACAAAAGCTCGATATATTCCCAGGCGTACGTTCAACCCACGGAGACGTTATCCGACTTTATACTGGAAGAGGACGAGCCAAACGGTACGTGGTATCCTTATACCTTTATAAGTACAATATCGAGTTGTATCGAGATGCATCTTGTAGAGATAGATATGGAGCTCGAGGATGAAATAATGTTGCGCAACGAGAATAACGTCCCATCCATCTCCGATTTGATTCGCGACTGTCAGTACGAAAGCAACAATTTTCACTTGGCGCAGCTGATGGATAACTGTGACTGGTTGTGCGACACGAGCGCTTTATCGCCAAGCTGTAGCGGCGATAACCAAGTTAAAGAGATCAAGGAGGAAAGATACGACGAGGATAGTAACAGCAGCCCAGTTTCCATACAAGAAGAGCAGCCTCCAGTCTCCTTGTTTAAAGAAGCGAAACGCCATCGAGGACCTTTGGACCAACGATCCAAGTCGTTTCTTACCAGTAATTATTCTTAATGCCTTCTCTGACTTTCTCTCGACGATAATAATGTACGTATTCCTTGTCAGACGAAAAGATATCGCCCATGACTCGTCAGGAGGAAGCCTATCTGTTGCAAAGGATCGGTAAGACCGATCTAGACAAAGCCCCGCCCGCCGTTAGAAGATTGTACAGGAAGTTGGCGGTGCGAAAGACCAAGAGAGAGTATCGGCTACCTCTGTTGGACGTCGATCGCTGCTTCGGGTCTAAATCGGGTGATCTCGTGGCTCCAAACTCGACGAGCAAGCGCGACCGAGTGCTGGATCGATTTTTCAGCGACGATCTAGGCTGCATATTCGAACAAAGATTACAGGGCTACAACGAACCGACGTCCGTACACAGTCCGTACACGAATAGACTATTGAAGCCGTTCATAAGGCGAGACACTTGTTGTCAGCCGCTGTGGTTGAGCATCGTGGAAGAGTTGCTTGCGAAAGTGAACGGCAGCGAGCCAGGATGGAAAGCTGGGCCCAGGGCGCCCGTCGATTATTCTTACGTCAGGCCGCAACACATTGCCGCGATCAACAGTCTCTGCTGTCAGTTCTTTTGGCCCGGTATAGATTGTAAGTTGCGTCTCGCTCGACAGGTGGGCAAGTATCGTCTATTGGCTAAAGGTGTCGTCTGTTTTAGTGACCGAGTGTCTGCAGTATCCGGACTTTACGTGCGTGGTGCTGTACAAGAAGCTGGTCGTAGGCTTCGCGATATTGGTGCCGTACGTCGGCTACAACGAGGCCTACATCTCCTTCTTTTTCACACGGCCGGAGTGGCGGAAGTCCGGTATCGGCACCTTCATGCTGTACCACCTGATACAAACCTGCATGGGCCAAGACGTGACGTTGCACGTGTCGGTGACGAATCCCGCTTTAATACTGTACCAGAAGTTCGGCTTCAAAGTGGAGGAGTTCGTTCAGGACTTTTACGACAAGTATATGCCGCCGAATTCGCGAGAATGCAAGCACGCTTTGTTCCTACGTTTAAGTAGGTGACTTGAATAAATGCGATTTAAACGTTCGTACCAATGCGTCACCTTCCTTCATTTCCGATTCGAAGTTGCCGCGGCGGTCGTCGCGCGTCATCGAGGGTGCGCTGCCGTCGCGCGATTCATTCTCGAAAGTTCCGGAAGCTGGTAGATGGAAAGTTTATATATATATGGACGGCGAGGTTACGCGACAGTTTAGTACAGCTTGGTGCGTAGGAGCGGCGAAAGTCCTTCGCGATTATTCCTTGTCAACTGTCGCGAGCCTACGTGCTTTTGTGTCTCCTGCGTGGCCTGTGCGAAACGTACGCGAGCTCCCGAGGCGAACATAGGAGCGGGACAGAAATAGTAAGTGGCGATGAAAATCGTAGACAGCTACGGGGCATAAGGATCCACCGTTGATCCGTGTTTGTTTTACCTTTGCTGCGACCCGTTTAACCCTATCGGGACGAATCGATCGCACGCCCTCCGTACGTTAAAATGTGACGGCGGCGACGACGTCGACACAATGGCAATGACACGGAACTCGATCCAAGGGTGGGGTATTTATTTTTGCGTTGCAGCTCGAATCGTAACATTCGTCGCGTATTCGCGGTCATCATTGCCAGAAATAGATATCGATGATACGTACGTGGGTGTGTTGGAGCGCTGGTTCTCGACGCTTCTCGATTCTTCTCCATCGTTCTCCATCGTTCTCCGTCGCCCGAGGCTCGGAAAAAAATGGCAGGGAATTCGTGCGATCCCGTCCCAGTTTCCGATTACCGAACGGTGCTGACAAATGCGCGCGTCCGTCCACTCGTTCCGTTCGTTCGTTCGATAGCGAGTGCGCGCACGTGATACCTTGAAGAAAGAGATCCGTCATCGTGTGTTGTTGTACAAACAAGGTTGCCTTCCTCGGGAGGTAACACAGCTAAATCCGTCACTGTTTCAGGCAGGATAGGAGATGGGCAAGGACTACTACAAGATACTTGGCATAGCCAAGGGGGCGAGCGACGAGGAGATAAAAAAGGCTTACAGGAAGCTGGCCCTGCGATATCATCCGGACAAGAACAGAAGCCCCGGCGCGGAGGAGAAATTCAAGGAGATAGCCGAGGCCTATGAGGTCTTGTCGGATGCGAAGAAGAGGGAGGTCTACGATAAATTCGGCGAGGAGGGCCTGAAAGGGGGTGCCTCGGCCGGCGGGGGCGGGGGAGGCGCCACGTACACCTTCCACGGCGACCCGAGAGCCACGTTCGCCCAATTCTTCGGCTCGGCCAGCCCCTTTCACAATCTGTTCGAGTTCGCTGGTAACCGCGGCGGTTTCGCCTTCCACGACGACGACATGGACATCGACATGGACCCCTTCGGCCTCGGCATGGGCCCGCCGCGGCAAGGTGGCGCCTTCAGGTCGCACTCCTTCAACTTCGCCAGCCCAAACACCGGCAAGGGGGCCGGCAAGGATCGCGCCCAGGATCCCGCCATCGAGCACGACCTGTACATCAGCCTGGAGGAGATTCTGCGCGGCTGCACGAAAAAGATGAAGATATGCAGACGGGCGATACAGCCGGACGGTAGCGCCAAGAAGGAGGACAAGCTGCTCACCATCAACGTCAAGCCGGGCTGGAAAGCCGGCACCAAGATCACCTTCCAGAAAGAAGGCGACCAATCGCCCAGGAGGGAACCCGCGGACATTGTTTTCATCATCCGGGACAAGCCGCATCCGCTCTTCAGGAGAGAAGGCAGTGACATTAGATACACGTGCAAACTGAGCTTGAAGCAAGCCTTGTGCGGTACCGTCGTCGAAGTTCCTACGCTAACCGGCGAGAAGATACCTCTCAACCTAACGCGGGAGATTGTCAAGCCGAATACAGTCAAGAGGTTCCAGGGACACGGTCTACCTTTCCCCAAGGAACCGTCGCGGAAGGGCGATCTTCTCGTGTCGTTCGACATCAAATTCCCCGAGACTCTGACTCAAAGCGCCAAGGATATATTGTTCGACACGTTACCTAATTGAGCTTGTCGATCGATCGGGAGAAGCAAACGTAACGTAAGAAATGTCGACGCACTCTTTTTTAATCACACCTTGAATCGTCTCGGTCAGCGAAATTACGGATACGGATACGTCTCGTGTACGTTCTAGTACATGGATCTAGCGCATACAAGGACGACGATGACGGCAACGGCGGCATTGAGAGAAACTGATCGAGAACGACGAAACATTTCCGCGATTTGCTCTTAGAGGTCAAATCAAATGAGACAAATATGTATTTTCTTCGGCATCACGTCGGTATTCAGTTCAGTAATTCAATTCAGCGAGTTGGTGTCTATATGTAGCGCGATTGGTCCCAATCTCGAATAAAGTAAAGAGTTAAGCACAGATCTAAATAGATAAAATTATATATATATATATCACATACATTGTTTTCTCCATTATACATATACGTATGTGCATGTATGCGTGGGTGTGTATGCGTGCGTTCTAGAGATACACGTGTGGTACGAAGGCTGTGTATGATAACGCGAGTGCAATATCAGAAATTCTATTAGTTTCGTACTTGTTTACTAAAAGCTTGCGAGAACGAAGAGAGAGAGAGAGAGAGAGAGAGAGACGAACGTTTCAGATATTGCCCTCCGCCAGTCTCGTACATCATTTTTGTCGTACGTACACTCTGTCTATAATATAGTATAAAGAATTTTTGTTTACATTTTAAATATTGCAAGACACAAACTGACGAAGACATGTATATTGGACTCTAAGCCAACACACACACACACACACAAGTCCCGTTATGCAATTGCTCCTAAGTTTAATGGTTGATTAATTATTTGTACGCTAAATATGAGAAATATTAAGTTACACGATACACGCGCATCTTCTTTATTGCTCTTCTCCGTTCCCCGTTCCTGTGGAAATACGAATATAACGTCGGGACACTCTTAAAATAGCTAGCGAGGAGGATGACGTCATCGCGCTCATCTCTCGAGACAGCTTTTCGCGCGGATCCTCTTACAATCGCTAAATCGCGGCCCGCGGTAGCTCTACGTAATCCTTGTCGTCGACCCAATCGTCCTCGCCGCGCGACACAGAGGTCAGCAAGGGTAGACCACCCGGCCCTGACGTCAGGTACTTTGCGATTCCGAGTCGTCGACTGGTCGGCGCATTTTGCGGGCCAAGTTGATCTGCCTCGTCCTCGTCATACCGATGAGTCCTCTGTAGCTTTTTCCCGAATCGAAAGCTCTCCGGCAGACAGTGATGCTGACGGCAAAAGTAACGCTGGCCCTCCTCGGCGTGGCACCACGTACCGTCTGGAAAGTACGGGTCGAGGCCAAGGTCGTTCAATTCGAGGCGCGGCGCGTAATAAGCGGCAATGTCCTTCCGTCGGCAGAATATAGCGCAGGCCATCCACGGCCTGTCGGCCTCGTGAGCCGCCTGCAGTCCCTTCGCCGTGCCGTCCAACGCTGCGAGTCTCTCGGCGAAGAGGGCACACTTCAGCGTCGCCAATTCCTCGACCGTCCTCCGCTTCCTTTTGCAAAGCTTCTCATCCTTGCACAAGACCACGTCGTAATACAGGCCCTTGCAATCCCTCGCCGTCGTCCTACGACTTCGAGTCTCGCAGAATCGTCGTCTGACTCGAGCACCTTTCGACCTTTGCAGGCAACCGCTTTCGCAGGAGCCCTCCTTCCACTCGCTCCAGCTGCCTCTTGGACCGTCGGACAATTCCGACGGGTCGGCAACGGACACGCATTCCCCGCCGCGACACTCGCTACCGGGCGCGCACCGAGTTCCTGGGGGGAGAAAAACGGAGGGAGGATCAGCCTCGAGCGTCTCTGGCAACGTGCGCGCGACTACCTACCGTCCAACGCCGGCCCTGCAAAGTAGTATCCACTTCTGTGAGGCGTTTCGCATTGCAACGACTGACAGGCCTGATCCAACGTGACCACGTCCGCGTCCTTGTCGCGCAAGAGTAACTCGCACTGCCTCTTGGCGGTCCACTCTCTCCCAGGTAGGTCGCGATACCGCGAGTGATCGTGAGCAACCGCATCCGTGCCGTTTCGTGGCTCCGCTCGGTCCAAGAGGCAGACTTTGGTCCGCGTAAGAGTCTCCGCTACCTCGCGGCTACAGTAGGACCAGATCGTCTCGCCTCGGACTCCTCTACTGGGCGACATTATGTATCCGTCCCTCGGACACGCGTTGCCGCTCGAGTCGTGCGGCATTCCTAAACTTTACAGACCAACGTCCTAAGCTTACGACCGTAATAAGGTAACACCATGTCTCACTACTGAGCAGAGTTGTAAACCGAACCGAACCATTGAAGTGTATCCGCTCCGAGAGAACGGATCAAAATTTCAATTATAAAATCATTCCGGAGCGAACCATTTTTGATTATGATTTAAAACGCTCCGGTTTCGAACCGGAGCATGAAAAACCGGTTTTGGAGCGGTTTCTTTATCTAAAAAGGATTTAATTTATTTAAAAAGATTTACCACGTTTGAGTCTTTGCTACATAGCTGGAGAGGTGGTAAATGTGCAAATTTCACCAGTTCGGTTCGATTTGCACATTCCAAGTTCTAAATAATTTACTTCATTCATTCGGTTTTCGGAGCGGTCTTTAAACTCGAACCGGTTCAAAACCGCTCCAAAAAACGTATTTATGCTCCGGTTTACAATCTTATTCGCTCCGTTCTCTCGTAGCATATAACTTCAATGGTTCGGTTCGGTTTACATCCCAAGTTCCAAATAATTTATTCCGTAAATTCATCCGTTTTTCGGAGCGATTTTTTAATTCGAGTCGGTTCAAAACCGCTCCAAAGAACGTATTTTTGCTCCGGTTTACAACCCTGCTACTGAGAGTACTCGACTTACTTGTGACCGATCTCGTGAGCGGCGATGTAAACTGAGGTAAAGCCCGCGGACGGATACGGCTTTCCGAGTTGATCCGTAACTCCCAGCTCCGCTATCACGCAGGAATAGCGCGGGATACACAAACCGCCGACGGTGGCCAGTCCCATGGTAGCGCCGTTCCTCCTTCCGCTCTCGATCGCGTAAAGATCCAGCCCAGTCACGTAGAGGCCCATGTCCCAGTGGCGCGAGTCACCGTCCTCCGCGGGATTGCGGGCATTCGCGTAATTGCAAAACGAATCCAGCAGGCTGCCTCTCTCGCCGCCAAAGTGCGGTAGGTCGAGTGGCTGCCTCTCGATAATGTCCAAGCGAATCAACGAGATGTCGAGCGGGACGCCGAGACTCGGATGGTGATAGAGCGCTTGGATGCCATTCACGTATGCCAACAACATGTCGCGAATCTTTTCGTCGTCCTCGTCCAGGTAAGGCGAGAACAAGCGATACGCAGCCTCGTCGAAGAAGACTGCCAGCTCTAACGTCAACTCGCTGTCCTTGGAATCTAGCGTTCGGCGTCGCTTCGCTTCTCGATCCAGATTCGCTCTCGACGGCGATCGCTTGACCACGTGAGGTTTGCCACCTAACGGAAGCCTCGTCTCATCCTCATCTTCTTCTTCCTCCTCTTCAACGTAACGGTCGTCGACGAGTTGGCCGTCAAAGGATGAAGCCGCGAGAACGTCTCGCAAAGGCGTAATCTCCAACGTAACGTCCTCCAGAAAGACGAGTCCGTGCTACCTCCAACAAAAAGTACACTTTCCATCATCTTACATCTTACATCTTACATCACGTATCCGCAAAGCGCAACAAAGTACAAAGGGTGTCACCGACCAGTCCGTGTTCTTGACAAAAACTTATGGCTGCGGAACCGACGTGATTTTTGTGAAGGTAATGGCAAGGATCCGGTGCACTTAACTGCGACAATTCTTCCGTGATGCCCTTCGCATTGTGTTTCCAGACTTGAAACTGGGGCGATACTATATTGTCGTTTCTACGTAGATTCAACTGGATCAGCTGCCCAAAGGCTTCGAATGTTAAGGGAATCTGCAAATATAATCCAACAATAATTAAATATACATTCCAACAGTCGTGCGCCTTTTAAACCATTTTAAACGTACCTCCAGTGCGCCTTTCGAATCCCATACCGGCAACAATATTACCTCGGTATCTCGTACATTACGCGAGTACACTTGGTTTAATAAAATGATAAACATCAACCTCGATACGGAGGACATGTTCTTTGTGTGTTTCAAGTTCAAGTACTTGAAGGAACGCCAACGTCTCTTTATATATTTAAATACATCCAAGATATAAAACCCGTACACATTCGTTATCGTTATCGTTATTCGCAAGTTTACGTACAAAGTGCATGTTGGTACCTGTATTTAAAAATATTCATCGTGTCATTGACACCTACGCACGTACTCAACATACTCGTGCCACCTGCAGCGGCGGGACTGCGTTACCTGTGACGCGGAAGAACCAATTTATTTAATCGACCGTAATTTGATTGAATTGTAAAACTTTCAACTCGTAAAGACCGATATCGGAACTTGTCATTTGTTGTACGCTGATAAACTGCGCCTCGGTAAAGGAGGTGACAACGAGTATACGATAATAACCGCAAAGCAATCGTTTTATTGATATATCGAAAGTACCGCTAGAAAACTGCTAGATGCGGGAAGGTAGAAATAATAGAGAAAAACTTTACTTGTTACCAAATAGTAATAGTATTAAAATATCTCAATAAAAACAATAAATAATAATTGCGATGAATAATAAAATTAATTCATTCGAAGATTCGGCAGTGTATCTAGCATGCTTGGCAATGCTCGTTACAACTATAAATATATGACGTTTAGAGGATATATTAAATAATACGATAATCAATTTCTCACAGTCTAACATGATGATCCTTCCATATATGTATATATATATGTATAGGTATATCTCTATATTACAGTTGTATTATTTCATTTCAAACAACACTTTTTGAAACATGTTGTCTCTAAAATAATTCAAGAGGGAATCAATTATGGATATTTTCAAGTGATACTTGCAGCTTTGAAATTAAATATTACAATTGTAACAAGACACGTATGTACATACGAGATGAAATCAAATTATATGTCAATACGCGTGTACGCATAGATTTAGATTTTCCAATCGTAATAAAAACATGCTACAAGCGTCGTCCACACGTGCGGCGCGCCGCGGCGTAGCGCATCCTAAAATCGCAACATGTATTAACAAACGATAAATCACGTCGGAATGTGCTCGATTGACATATAATTAAAAATCGTCCTGTACACGAGCGCAATAACTCGGCAATGTGAAAAAGAAAGGACCTTTATACATACAATATCGCTTTTTTAAAGCGTCGACCTCAAGTACTACTTGTTTATCCAACGTTTACTCGATTCATTTCGCAGCACCGAAAATCATGTATGATGCTCAATTATATGACGCATCATGTAAAACTTTGTAAACCGACTCGCAACTGCCATTCTTTGGATACTTCGCACAATCACACAATGATGTAGATGTAGACGCGTACCGAAAACAAAAATTTACCTTGCAACTTTTCCACGTAAAATACGAATGCATTTCAAGTGACTATTTTCCACGGTCCGTTGCCATAATTCTATGAACCACAGTGAACACTTAGGTATATATCCTCCAAATGGTGGAAGATATAGCCATATATAAAATTTGTAGCCAATACTTGCTACGAACACACAAAGGTTTTGCTGGCTTAATTTCTCCTCTTTTTTTCCAATGCCAATCGCTCGGTCTACCGTAATACGCCTGTAATACATACCGCCGTATCAAACATACGTATCAAACGTCATACACGCATATACGCACGTACAATGCATACATACATAATTATGATACATACCTACATTATGGATCTCTACAACATTATAATATCTCTTTAACGTGTCTAACGTGTCTAACGTGTAGCAATCAAGCCAAGTGTATGCATCTATGTTTGTGTCATGTGTTTTCTGTGCATGTGTATACAGGCGTAGATTACGAGACCTTAGTAAATCTACAAAGACATGGCATACAATCTCAACAATATTGTATTATTGTTACAAGAGACCTAATGAGAGATGGGAATTATTCACAAAACCCTAAAAAAACCTGATTACTTACGATAGTGATGATAATAATAATAATAATAATAATACGTTAAAATGCTACGTCAGTGAGTAATATCTGAAAGCTCTGTTTCAAAATCTGTAAATTCTCAATACAACGTGGGAAATTGCTAGTAGCCTTGCAATCTTAATCAATATAAACTTGAAATTCATTAATTACATTAATAATGTTATAATTATATTCATTATGTGTATAATACTAATTTATTTCAAATTAAATGTATAATTACAAGAGTTTATCAGCTGAAACGTTCACATGCAGACGCAAGTGTTTTTCTCCGTTTCCTCACTGAGCAACATCGGAATAAATTAGTCGTTTCGTTCGTCGGTGCTTTTTACATTTTCAGCAAGAACGAAATATCATGATAATTGATTAAGACTTGCGGCTACTTGTTAACAAAACTAATTTATTTCGATGTATTATGAATGAAACAAAAAAAAAAGACTTTTCGCTTCTAAAGCCACAAATGATCGTGTGGTCGTGACGTTGTGAAAGAAAATCATGAATAACAAAACGAGAACAAATGTAATAATTTAATAAGTTTAAACGTAAAAACAACGTTCCGTTTGTTTCCTTCACCTAGGCTTCGAAAGAAAAAAAAGCGAAAAAGAAAACACTTATGATTCGTATAGAAAATTATCTGTCGCGCAATGTAGACAAAGTTAGGATTGCTCGTCATTCGAAGGCCATTGCCCGGAATGATTCCAATCCCAATCTTTGCCCTTGGGACGAAACTTGCTGGTACTGGCAGAATTATTCCAATCACGGTGAAAAAACTTCTTCTTAAAGTGATGCCGCTCAGGATCTGGTTGTCGTTGGTATTTCAAAGGTACCGAGGAGGATGTGCCGCTCGGGGGATTACTACTGGTTGAATTTGTGGGACGGGGGCTAGTCGGAGAAGGTGTTCTCGGCGGCCCTAACGCTTCGTCCGGAGAAGGTACTACAGGCGGTGGCCCTGTTACGGCGCTGTCTGAACCTAATCCACTATCGGGACTTGTATTCACTCCTTCCGTTGATCGTCTACGTTTGTCCAATTCTGTAGAAGCGAACGCGACCAAGCGATCAAATCCTGAGCTAATGCGATCTTGCCAATCCTCCCCATCTGCAAAATTAATCTCTATTAATCATCATTAACGTAGATACAATAGAGAGTTGGATAGGTCATGTGTCGTTAACTTTTCATAAAAATAAGCCATTAATCGGATACGGTATATAATACACGCAATTATCTTTTATACATATGTTGTATGCATACAAGAGTAAAATCATTGCCCATCGATGAAGAATTTTGCGAATATAAATTGGTATTTCAAATTTCTATAGACAATAGTTGTACATTTAGATACGGAAATTGAAATCAGTTTTATTTACAATATTAGATTGCGTAACACTACAGATGTATCTTGAAATTGAATTTAAAACTATTGTGTTATTGCAAAAAATATGAAATGCATCATGCTAAAATAGATGCAAATTAAAATGTAAAACGTTGAAATACTTTCTTTTTTTATTGAAATTGGATCACAAATAGTCAAAAAATGGAAAATAATAGAAAACACGAAATTTCTCATGCAACATGCACTAAAAGTACAGTCCACCAATTTCTCTCTCATCATGCGTTTATATACATATACAGGGTGTCCCATTTTAACTTGAACAGTAAAATATCTCGAAAACTGAGCCCAGCAGACAAAAATGTTTCAGACAAAAGTTGTATGGTTTCGAGGGGGACATAAGATGGTACTATTGGTTTGACCTTGAAGAATTATTTGAAGGTCAAATAAAGGTCACCCCAATTTTTGTAAATGGCATCCCCTATTTTTTATTACATATTCTTGTAGCTGACCTCGAGAGCTTTCCAAAACGCTATAATAAAGTATTTTGTATTAAGAACTTTTTGAGTTATTAAGGTTTGAAAGTTCCAATATCTTGACATAAATTACAAAATATCTTGTAAAATATTCATTTTTTTGTCATCTTACCTTAATACTTTTTTGAACAGAATAATGATACAAGTCAACCGGTGTAAAGAAAACACAATTTTGTAACAAGTAATAAAAAAATTTTTTTTTAACAATTATGTTTTCTTTACACCGGTTGATTTGTCTCACTATTCTGTTCAAAAAAGTATTAA